AAATATACTCATAAACTTGAGAAGCTAATAATGGACCAGTGCTGCTAATGTAAGGCGATCAACCAGTGTCTGGAGTATTTTTAAGAAACGTTTCATTCGGTTGGGTTTCCAATCTTCCCGAAGTAGGGTAGTTGGCATCTAGCTTCATTACTAACTATACTGATAATACTTTCTGTTTTCGCCTGGATTGTTATGATATCATCATCAAGTTCAGGTTCAGTTGTGGCTATAGTTTATATTAGAAACTTTGACTTTATACTGTTGACAGATACTAAGAGTTGTTTGTAAAACTTGAAAATTATAAATATAAAGAAAAATGTCGTTTAAAGCATGTAAACTCTTATTTTTAACGTTACTACGATTTTTCTCATTTGTTTTCGTTTGATTTTGATGGTTGTTTTTCTCATTACTAGTGACAGATTCGATTCATTCACCCTCAGATCCTTAACAACTTGTCTTACGATCCCACAAGTAGGATAGTCCCAAGTAACTAACTGCTGTTCTGTGATGTATGGAAACGAGAATATCTGAATAAATTTTACGACGTCTTTGCCACTCTGCACTAGGCCCTATGCTAAATATTTTAGTTTTCTATTATCGATATCCCTAGTAGGAAGTTTATCTTCATGCCCTTTTATTTATGAGGAGATTCCAAATATAAAACATGTTTTTGAAGTGAAACAGTGACCTCCGAAGATCGGCTGATAGCTACCAACTTGAATACGAAAGTAAGCTAGCGATGTTCACAGGAAAATCCCATTATTTTACACTTTCGTGCACTCTCTAGAGACGATGAACGGAGGAAAATAAGAATTAAAAAATCTCGGTGTCTTAAGAACATCAGGAAACATTTTTTGATAAATATCTCGGGCAATATGCGTCTTATCAATTAAATAGTAAAAGAATTTCTTTTTGAAAACTGACTAAGGAAGACCAAGATTAATCTTTTGACCAAAAGTTCTAATCTAAAACATATTTTATCACATATGATTCGATCAAATTTGACGCACATATTTCGAATATAGCATTGGTTTAGTATAAAAGTGTTTGAAAGTTGCGAAGTGTTAAAATATTGTACGAAACCATCGGTTTAAAAAAACCTATATTTCGGTCCAGAGAAAACGGTGCATGTGCACTAAAGTTAGAAAAACATTGCCACAAAGTTCAAGGGACTTACCTATCAAAAATATGGACATCTTTTTAAAGAGTCGATATCCAACTAAGCACAGGATTCGATAATCCACGATGTCAACTCTTAGAATCCATCCTCCTTTTGTCAACAGCAGAGCTTTCTGAAGACGTCTTTCAAAACATTATTATTGTATTTCATTAAAATGATGGTAGATTGTGGAGCAAACATGACCGATAAAATTTGACGTTTCCCAGCTTAGAGCGATAGTTTGATCAACAATTATGATAATTTTACAATCAGTTCTGATACCTGTACCATATTTTAAAACGGATTTCTTTCTTCGTCGCTCGAAGAGTTTCTCAAACTTCTCATTCAGTTTGGATAACAGAAAGGTCGAGATGGTCTTGTTTCACCGAGAAATATTGTCACTCTGACAATACAGAGCCGGATATTTAAGCGTCGTCTTGCAGAGTAAGGGAAAGTAACGATCCCAAAATAATCTAGAGGTGGTTTTGAAGGATTCTGACGAGAAATGTTTGATGTTAAACAGTAACATGAGAGTTCAAGTTAATAGCATTTTTGTACGAAGTGAAACCATTCTGAGCTCAGTAATACGTAGTGTGCCCGAGAATTTCTAAAAACCTTATATCCCATTTTGAGTTGTGCTGTAGCAATATCTCGCGAACGGAGATACACAGAGCCAAAAATGTATTTCGTCACTATACTTTGGTCATCATTCACTGAAAATTTTAGTTGAGATCGAGCTTGTGGTTAGCAAAACAATTTATGGTGTTGGAGGCCATTAAGAAAGTTTGACAGATAAAAAATAAGTCACTGTCATTGCCCTAAAAGTCTGTGTGTTGGATGAAATAACAAGAAAAAAGAAATTTTGGGATCTCATACCATAAATATATGGGTGAGGATTGATCTCTCCTAATTATAAATAGAGTCGTAAAATCCTGTCTGCTATGCTTGAAACTGCTGACATACATTGATCCTAGATCATCTGTTGCTGCATTCTACTCTTGATTAAGATGCAAAATATTATTTAATCTATAAAGCTGTTTGTCAGTTCATTAGTGGTACTCAACAATTTGACTAACTCTTGTACGTTTCACGACTGTTGCACTCTTCTGATTATCTGTTCTCTTTGTATAAAACGAAGGTGTCTCCACAAGTTGAGATCTGTATGTTCTTTTTATTCTTAGTTATTTCAACTTTTGAATGTATTATCAAAACAATAGCACGTACTCTCGTGTCTAACTCTGGCGACTTTTGTGTTTTAAGTTGATCCTTTCTCTCCCTGTCGTTATTACATGATTTTTTTTCCAGTACATCCTCTTTCTCAAAGAACAATGTAATGTGATCCCTACAGCGCGATTTTAATCTTAGTGCTGTTCTTCTATTTCTTTCTAAATAAAGTTTATATCAACATGGTCGTGTTGACATCGTACTCACACAACACTACTGCAATGTCGTGTAGTAACAGAGATTTCATAAAAACCTTATCGTTGGTTCGCGGAATGCAATCGTCCAAAGAGTTCTTTATCAATGACGTTATTATGTTTCAATTGACGTATGAATTTATTCACCTCACTCCCTCTCTCTCTCTCTCTACGACGATTGCGTTACTTTGCAAATAACAATATTATTGTTTGAACGCAAGTCTTTCAATGCACGCTATTTGTCGGTACTCACATTTGAACCGATTTTCTTTTTGTTGTTTTCATCATTTTGGATAGAGGATAACGTCAGAAAGACAGACTTGTGGCAAACCTTCTCAATTTTTCATCGCGTTCAGCTCTAGATCAGCCTTTACTTCAATGAAGTTAGTCACTCGGCGTTCAACAGAACTGGCATCCTCTGACTAGCAGTCGTTCGTCTGTCGAAGATAATTCATACGATGAAACGCTGTGTACAATTTTTTCTGCTGATTTGATCAAACGCTTGAGCAACTGGGCTTCTGTTTAGTTCCTCGTATTTTTTCGCATGGATTCGTGTGTTTCGCACGGGGCCATCTGGTAAAGGTGAAATTTACTGAAAAACGACCTGAAGGAGAGTAAAAGTCTGATTCTGTTGAAAACTATTCGTATGATAAAACCACTGAGTCCGAAATACGATGGTTTATAAATATTTATACTTCTCAACTTTTATCGGTCAATTTTCTAGCTGAAAAGCGTTTATAAAGCAAACATTTATAAATCAATGTTTATACAACAATTTATAACTAGATGCTAAATCTACAGTTAGGACTTAGAACATATAACTTATTTTAAGCGTATTTTATCTTTCTTTTTCTCCTCCTTGTAATGTTTCATACATAAAAATGACCTAATACGACAAGGAAGAAAAGCGAAATTTAGTTTAGATGTTGAAGAGTTCAAAACGAAGTCTAGAAACATAGACACAAGTAAAATGAATGTATGAAAAAAAATACACTATAATAATTTAAGACTCCCAAATTCATTACATATAAACTCCCATTCGAGAATCAGGTATATCTTTTTATAGGTTGATTTCTAAACAAATAAAATTTGTTATTTAATCTATTTACGTTGGTGACTGTTGTTGAGATTCTGAGAAATGAGAACACCAGTTTTTGGTATTATGTAATATTATACGTTGTTCTAGAGTATAGTATAAGCACGTAAAGCTAGACTGAAAGTGCTGGCTCCTTCTCATGATTCCATGTAAAAGCCCAAACTACTATGAAAAGTAAGCAAGCTAAATTTATTCATCATACAATAAGTTCCATAAATAAGTCTTCAAATAAAATGAATAACAAAAAAACAATCAAAAGGTCTTGTTTTACCACACGTTTATTTTTAGAGTGCGTACCGTGTTTGTCGAACAACATAACCAACTGAAGAATCTAGGATAAGATGGCGGACACCACCTCAATATTAACAAACTTCTTCAAATTGAATCATACTCAAAGCATTTTAGCTGGTATCCACACACGAAGGCCGACCGAAGGAAGGCCTGAGCTATGCAAATTTCCCTCGCTGTTTCAACTCATGGGAATAGAGTTCTTCCAGTCAGAAGTCGAGTAAATCGAAGATGAACGCTATTTGTTAGATTGCGTTGTTTTCTTTCTACTTAGATCGACTATAGTTCTTAAAACACAGATTGATACACGTGCAATCAAATTCTGTTCACAAGATATTGAGTCAGAATAAAAAAGAAACACTTTCAGAAAATGACAGAATCGTTTTATAATGAATAAATAATGACCATACAATAAAAATGTGAGGAAAAACGTTCTTTTCTCTAATACCTACAGAACAGAATTTTTTTTTTTTATTGTTGCTAGAAGAGTGAATGACTCATGGAGTAAAAACCAACAAAATGAAGACAGCAATATATATTTGTTTTTCATATTCACTTCTTTGCTTGATTATATATGGTCTCTCAACGATAGATGGTGTAATCAATTAAACAATGACTGAATGCAAAAATAATTATGTATGTTTGCATTTTATTGAAAATGATTATCAGTTATGAATTTTTATTCACTATTTAGGCTTCACCGTGTCACGTTTTACTGATACCTCTCAATACGAAAAATAAAACAACAATTCAGGAAATTTCAGAATATCTTCAAAAGTTATGTACGTAAAATTATTACTAATGTTAAGGCTAGAATATATTTTCGGGGTTGATGGAAAACCTCGAATGGAAAAACATCGAGAAAAAAGAGGAAAATTGTAGAAAGGTTGACAAGGTGTCTGTAGAACTTAAATGAAGCCTGCCTAGTCCAATATAAAAGGTTGTTTTATCGTGTTTTATTTTATTAAAACGCCTAGTCGTCCCTCTAAACTGAAAATGTAATAATATTTCGTATATTTACAAAATGCACGACAAAAAAATGTCTGATAAAATAAGTGTATACGGCGTCGAAAGTAAAATAAATGAATGGACAAAGCATATATCGACGAAGAAAAAATAATCTCTTCAAAGACGACAGGTCATCGGCTTACAAAGTTTTTGTCTCGATTCAACTTGGTGCTGGAGGATCTGCCCCGAAACAATCAACAAACGTAATATCTTTTTAAAAAAGATTCGATGCACTTAATGACAGATTTCTGAATAGTGAATCAGTGCAAAACTTATCATTGCTCATCGGAAGATACAAAAATGAGATGATATTCATTACGTGTTATTATTCATTTTCTTTCTTTTTAAAATTTTTTAAATAAAAATTGCTATAATAAATAAATCACCAATAACTATAATAAACTATCTTCTTTATTTACTATCATAATACAGAAATCTTTTCTTTTCAGTATTTTGATTCTCGATGTTCTCCTTTCGACATTTTTCTTTCTTAGTTTTTTTCGATGTCTTTCCCTTTCGACATTTTTCCATTCGATATTTTCCACCAAGACCATATTTTCTGTTATTTTAGACCCACAATTGAATACTGGACAAAAAGTTATAATTCGAACGTTGTATGATTACGTGTCCAATTATAAACGGTTAATTCCGTTCGGATGTGAATTATCAAAACAAGATCCAGAATTATGGATTGAATATATATGTGAGTTATGTCCGATTCGATTTTATGTGATTGGGGATGGTATCGCATATCAAAATAACTGGGACAAACAGATGATCACCTATGATTTGGAAAAGAATAAAAAAAACGACTTAGAGTCTCCAAATATATGGAAATGTTTACTGAAGGGAGAAATTAAACTTGAAAGCATTCAAGCAATAGAGGGATTAGAATTTTATTTGAAAACTGTACCTCCACTCTTATTAGACGAAATTAAAAGTTTAGCTAGTGAGCTCTCTGGTGCTATTCACTGTGCTGATTCAAAGCTAAATGAACGTTCGAATAGTGTTACATCAAAACTATACCAATGGTTCAAAACAGCTGTTCAATCTCAACGTATAAAATTAAATGTATGTATTATAAAATTATTTTAGTAAAATGTCTAGCTGTTTTACCGTACCATTTGCACGAAAACATCTTGAAAAACAAAGCCATATGTAAACGTGTTATGGCGAACGCGATAAATTTTAATAGTTCAAGTAATGAAAAACAAAAACTCTCTAAACGTTTGCTTTCTTTTTTCTCGGACAACGCAGTTTTAACACGAAACTTGAAACGCCTCATCTGGAAGAAAAACGTTTAATTGCCATGAAAACTCGTTTTTATTAATCGATTAGCAAAGCTGATCACATGAGAGTCGCTTCAGTTCATTTAAGTGTAGTTTCTTGCTATATGAACGTGCTATAATGAGTATTTGTCCTTGAAGCTCTACTTCGGACAAAAACAAAGTTAGATCATGTATGCATGAATATGCAGCAGAATATAATGGTCAACTGTACCTACTCGTTGAGGATGATAACAGTTTGTGATTGCAGAACCTCGGTCGTTATACATAATATATGATAAGAACGTCCGGTATTACTTCTGCAACTTTGTTCGGTATCTGTAAATAGCATTGTCTTTGTGCCTTTTATTCTGCTGCGTATTTTATATAGTCAAAAGAGAGTAAAGAAGTTAATTAACAAAGTACTTTGTGCGTTGAAAATCCTTTCTAACCATATAATAATTCTCTCAATAACGACGATTTCATAATACAAAATTCAAAGAACTTATCCACTGAATAATGGCACGAAGAAATTAGTTTTGCGCTTTAGTGTCAGCGCTGTAGTTTCATATGCAGATATGTCAGTGACTTTGTAGAGTTTAGTCTTTTAAGTGAGGGATCCCAATCCAGTCCACTAGTTTGTAGCCGACGGTTCGGAGTATATGTTTCAAAACAGTTTTCTGTTCTCGGACTTGTAGTTCTTGATAAAAAGTTTTCAATTATTTTGCCCAATTTTTAAAATTTTAATAAAAACTTTAATTGTTGACATGAAGAGTTGATTTTAGCGTGATTCGCTAGGGGACATTAAATTATGCATAGAAAAAGATTGTCAGCGTTTCCGAATAAAGTTTTAGGCAGAAATAGAACTTTTACCATCCTAACAGAATTTCAGAGCTAAAAGTGTTTTAAAAAAACCTTACAACTAGTTTTAGTCGAAGTTAGCAATGTGGTATATAATAGAGGGAAATAATTGATTTATAATATTTAGATTGTGACCATTCCTGCAAATTTTAAGCTCCCAATACAAGCTCTTGATCGGCCAAACATCAACGATTATAATTACTCAGTATTATGTACCCAAATGGATATCGAACCATACCAGCGACATTATTCTCAACCATTCGTGTACTTGAACTATTCTGATTGTAATGAACAAGAAAAGAATGATGCACTACAACTAATAGAAAAGGATCTTGGAAAGGAGAAGTTCAAAATCATTGATTATTCACATTATTCGGACTGGAGAACAAACCAGAATATTTTAACACTTATAAATGAAGATGTTTTGTATGTCATTACTATATTTGGTACTGATTCAGCAAAGACAGATGAAAATGAGCTTGCCAAAAGAGTTTACGATTTTATACCAAAAAATCGTATGTCAGAGATCAATTCACAAGGTCATCTATGTCTACGCGTTCCTGAAACACATGATTATCGTTATCTCGTTTCGTACGTCTACATAGCGTATGTACATTGTACGCCGGATGAAATCGAAAAATTCAACGAACTGTTAGAAAAACTTCAAAACCAACTTGGGCCTAATTATCGGTTTGCTACTTATAGGAACTACGAGTTTATCAGAAATTTTGGTTTAATCATTGATACTATTAAACGAAATTCGGTTTATTATATTGTTGTAAGAGGATCTAAGTACGAGTCAACAGAAGTTCCTATGAATCACGAAGATATTGTTGCTCAATACTTAGAAAATTACATACAAGCAAGTGCAGAATGTAAAGGATTTGTATTTCGTTATTCATATGAAGATAAAACATTATTGAAACATCCAACAGTTTTGATTTACCAAAAGCTAGCCATAAAAAACCTGTTTGACAGTATTCAACATACACTCATTATGAGACAAATCAATCTAGCGTTTAATCAAATGGCATTTGTATACAACTTACACTGTCAACCGTTACAATCAGGTAATCTATGCTTGAATGAGTTAGAATTTTATTTCTTTTGATTTGTTTAGATGCAGACAAGTGTCCCGTTTTCACACTTTATGTAAGTAATTAAGTATTCTACGAACGCAATAAATATATGTAATTATTTAGGTCAATTCTAATGGTGAACCCTGTCGCATGTGAACCCTGTGTATTTTTCACAAATTTTTCATAACTCTACCGCGATTGGATACGTTTCAAACTGTAACGAATATTTTTCTCTATAGTATAACGTAACATGAATTAAATTTATCATATCATTTTTTGATAGAAAGGACGCGGTGCTCAATAAACAATCAGACGAATATTCAGCCAAAAAAAATTAAAAAAATAATATTCAGCCGAAACTTTTAATAGAAAGAAAATTGAATCGATACCTGACCAACTTATTTGGCATAAGAATTTTTGTCATAACTTCAAAAATTATAGTAAAACACAGTGCTATAATAAAGATTATAGTATTAGTGCACCCTTTTTCATTTACATGTATATTATCATGTACAAATTCTCGAATTTTGGATGCTCTTTTCATTATTATACTTCGATTTCTTAGTGCCTATTTTATTTTTTGATATGTGTCAGTATTACCATTTGGAAAAAAAAGAACACAAACTTTAGATCTGTTCAGAAATGATAATCGTCTTTTTGTCGTAATTAGATAGTCAAAAAATCTCAGTAATTCTGTATTTGAAAATAGCTAAGTTCTGTTATTCTACGAGAAGAACTAGTTCAAAAAATTTATAATTGAAATAGAATAATTTTCTTTTTACTCGTGAATAATGCAAAGTAATCTCTTCGAAAAGTCAAATGAAATCTTCATCCTTTCAATCTTTTGAGAAGTAGTATAAGTATATTTGAAGTAGTTGGACGAATTTCTAAGAACCTTAAAATCCAGTGTCGCATTTAGAATTGCTCACACGGAAGCTCCTAACAATGGGGAAACGTCAACGATCACATGAAAATGTGCAGTTTTTCATCAGAAAAAAAATCATCAATCATTCGATAATAACTACAATGATTTGTAAATATGAGAATATGAAGAGAGAACTGTCTTGAAACTATATTTATTAGAAAAATACAAAAACTTAGTTAATCAACTAGATTTATCAGATAGTGTGCTAAAAACTCAACCTGTATGAGACAACTTTCTCAGTGTTTTTCGAACCTTGTTAAACATGCAAAACTGACTATATTTGGTGAAGTACGAGCCAGAGTTGGAACCGGACCGACCGGCTGAACGGTTACCGGTTCGGTCCGGTTGAACTTTTCAACCGACCGGTTAACACCGGTTTTTTGCCGGTTTTTTTGCCAGTTTAACTTCAACCGACCGGCTGCTGTCGATTTCGAATCACAAGCGAAAGATGACTACTGTATAACAAAAGTTCGAAATGTCAACTGGAATCGCCCAAGGGAGGTTGAAAAAAGGCAGTAGATCCAAAAATGATCTATTAATTCATTTTACATTTGTCCTATCACTGGCGAATTTCGGATATAGATGAACACAGGTTAAAATTTTCTCCCATTATTTTCTTTCACATTTCGAAAACATTTCCTTCTCCATGAAATATTAGTCCGAAAAAAAAGTTTTTTTTCTCCATTAAAACGTGATTAATCTATATTGTTTTTCCTACTGAGTTTCATACACCATCAGAAATTAATCCGCGAATTTTTCTTCGTTTCGTATTGGGTTAAACTTCGTGCTCAATACCTCACGTTAATACTGAAATAACCATAACAGGAAGATTTTGAAAATACGCAAGCTTAGCTTTCTGCAAAAAATCGGTTTTTTACCGGTTGAACTCCAAAACTGAACCGGTCGGTTTATTACCGGTTGAACTACGCATTAAACCGGCCAGTTTTTTAACTGGCCGGTCGGGTTTTTTCGAAAAGCTGAATCGCCCAGTCCGGTTCGGTTAGGGAAAATTCAACCGGTTCCAACTCTGGTACGCGCAATTGTAATTATTTTCGAGTGATTGATGGTTTTTTTTCTGATAAAAGCTGCACGTTTTCATCTGATCGTCGAAGTTTCTCATTGTTGTGAAATTCAGTGTAAGCAATTTCAAATGAGACACTCGATTTTGAGCTTCTTACAAATCCGTCCTACTGCTTCGGGGATATTTATACTACTTCTCCTAAGATTCAAAAAATGAAGAGAATACTTTGCACTATGCACGAGTAGAAAGAAAATGAGTCGATTTTTATTAAGCATTTTAACCATGATCGGATTTTATAAAGATTCTTTCGAGATTCTACTTTAGAAGAAGATTTTCAAACTCAGTTTGTAGTGGAAAGTTGCGTGAAATCGTTGGGTATCGCTTGGTGAAAACTGCATGTCTCTTAATAGATGGTGCGAAGGACAATCATTCATATTTATTTTTAAATGTAAATTTAAACTTACAACTGCTGTAATACACATTTGTGATACGGATCTCCTCTTTTCCTTCGTACACATTCACCGAATGTCTTGCTTTATTATGAAAGACCGTATATAAAATTTGTTTTACTAGAATATCTTCTTCTTCATAATACTCTAGTGGAATAACTAGTTTCCAAATATTTTTATGAGAAATACCTAATAAACTCAACCAGCCTCTTCTGGCATAGAGTGGTATAGACAATTCGAAACCATTCTCAAATCTAAGAACCAACTTTGTATTTAGACCTCGTTCATTCAAACCTGTTTTACAAAATTTTTCTAATGTAATTTTCATTGGAATGTTAACACCATTGGACTCTAATTTACCATTTTCATAGTCTTTAGCTACTTTAGGACCTTGTTTAAATCCCGTATGAGGAACAGAGTTGGATAAAAATTCTTCTTCCGCTATTATTATATGATCTGTTATTTCAAATGTCCATATTATATCATAGACATTTTTATAATAATAACCACTTCGACCGTTTTCATTATGACCTTGAACACGCAATTGTCGATTATTTTGTCCCCATCCAGTTTGAAGTACGGAGATATTTTTTGTTAAACGAGCCTGTTTAGAAAGAGGTATTATCGGTTGTTCAATCCAATCTTCACCTGGAATAATACGGATAAGTGGTATTCGATTTTTTATATTGTATGTTGCTTTCAGTGCTGGATTTGATCCTATACTATCAAAATCTCCAAAACGTGTGTACATTTTATGAATTTCTTTACCATTTTCGTTGCGTGCTCTTTGAATAAGAAATACCATTGATGCACTTGCTGCTAATGTTTCAGCTATAAATTGACCATCTTCAGGACCGGTTAACTCATTTTCAAATTTATTACGTAACCATGGATCAGCAAAATAAATTCTCGTACCATCTTCACTAAGTGTATAGATAGTTGTTACACCAACATACGGATCTGGATGTTTTTTTCCTGCCATATCCGTATAATACATTGTATCATGACCTTTATGTGACATGGCAACACTTCTTGCATTTTTAACTGGTTTCAAAACAGGATTTCTAAAAATATTCACAATTACAGAAACACCATCCATATTAAACCATTTTTCTGTCCATTTCACTCTTGATTGAATTATTTTCCATTGTGGACAGTCAAATGAAACTTCACAAACAACTTCATTACTTTTTGCATAATGAATAACTTGATTTTTATCAACAGCTAGAATATTATCACCATCAGCACTTAAAGAAACTAATGGTTTTTTTGTGTTATCAATAAATCCATTTCCACCAAATAATTTCCATGGAGCATCTAAATGAGCAGCAATTGGTTTAAACCAAATTTTACCATCTCTAACTGCATAATAATATTTTGAATCCATTGCGTCAGTTGGTGTACAAACTGAAATTGGAATAATTTCATTAGCATTTTTTTCTTCAACATTTTGAATAATCGATGTTTTATTTAGACGTCTACAAATGAAAATAATTGGAAATTTTACTATGGAGAAAAGAAATGATGTTATTCTTGGAATAAGATCTTTTTTGGCAAACACAATTTTATTAACAATTATATCTTGTACTCGATCAATCGGATATGGTCGTAAACGATCACGTCCAGAATCCATAGTACCAGTTAATCAATTGACGTTAATGTATCGTATTAAATTCGCAGGCAATTGAGCTAGAACGAAAATATGTATTTCTGTCATTAGGATCGTTGTTTAGGGTCTACTTTGATCAGAAATATATTTTCGACACAAAACACGAAATTCTGGCTAAATTTTCAACAAGTGTTTGTCTTACATAAATGAGATTAGGATAAACATCTAACTTTAAAAGGTTAAGTTTTCCCAAAGTTATCTGGAAAATAGTAGTCGAATAGTAGATATTACCACATTCCAGACTGCTCTTCTACGTTAAATGCTAAAAATTGCGAATTGCTCTTGAACTGTAGCGATGACTTCGTTCTAGGACTTAACAGGATTCGTTTTTTAATTTTTGTCTTTGTTAGAAAATCAATAAAATCTCGCTAATTTTTCAGAAATTTCTAATTTTTATTAAAAACTAAGACAAAAATCAAGACTCTAGTATGCCTAGAACTAACGAGGGAAGTACCCCAACTGATAAATCGCTTTTTCAACGAAACCGAGTGGACTATAGGTAGTCGACGATGCTGATTTCGAATATCACCAAGAATGCTGCTGCTAGGTCTTCAAAGACCGGTCTTCTGGAAAACCAGTATTCGAGAAACTCTAAAGAGCAACCAAAAGCTTTCTTAATGAGACGTAATTGTAGTCCATAAATTTCTGATTAAAACGAGGCAACTCCCAGCTCTACACGACCTTTTTTTTACAAAGTTATACAGTTTACAAGAAAAGCCCTAAATTCATTTTTCGTTTTTCTTTCTGTAGCTCTGAGGTGACAATGAACATTTAGGGCTTTTCTTGTAAACTCTATAACTTTGCAAAGAAAGGTCGTGTAGAGCTGGGA